TTTTTCTTTTGGTTTTCATGTACAAAGTAAACTTAATATCAATCAATGAAGTTCTAGATGATCTTAATCACCAAATTTTACCGGTTTCAAATGCTATAATTAAGAAAGTTTTGACTCGGAAAAAGTCCTGATTTTGAGTTGTATAAACCATATAACCTGAGTTCAAATAATAGTCAGAATCACAAATTGAATTAGAAATTGTATTGCCCTGCGAGCGAAGAAAAGTCATGATCAAGTAGAATGGTCAGATAAATTGAAGAACTGCATGCATTCAAAGTGCAGTTATTATCCGGCATTTGGTCACAAATCATTTAACAAGGAAAGAGAAGCTGATTTATCATACCATCTGGAAAACGAAAACAAAAAATTCATATAAAGAGAACATGATGAGATCCTTTGAGGAAGACCCTTTAATTCACGACACCTTTTCTTATTGCAACCAAGAACATGACCGAACATTCCTTAGACTTGACTGAACCTTCTAAAATTAATGATAAAACCTAAGTTGTACGCCGAATAAATGTATATCAATAATGGATTCTGCCCTAACTATCAAACAATGATTCAATTTTTGACCTCCAAGTCCTTCATCTTAGGTTTCAATAACGAGTTGTAATGCATCTGGAGGACTGTTGAACATCCTTACTTTATAGAATTTTGGCACTTGAAATGCCTTTGAAAGGCCCACACGGTTTCAGGAACATAAGGTCTTTCTTGCTGCTCGGTTTCCTAGTCAAACCGCTAGCAATATAGGAGTGAGTTCAGGGTTACAGCTAAGAGCTAAGAGCATCTCAAATTCTTACTCTTTCTTTACCTTTCATTTTCAATGACTAATGGCTCTGCCCGTTATGTGGACGATTGAAACAAATAGCTTAATTTTATTGGGTCACTCCCATGATCTTATTCTAAATGATATAACTACTTTGAAACTCTTGGAGTACAGCATAAAGCTAAACGACAAAGTTATAATGCTCCATTTAAATGGGACAAGCAAGATTAGTTTCCCACGTTAAACATGACAGATAAGATGTTTAATTATGAAATCAGTAACTAAAAATTAGATAACATTTATTTTAGTTTCCCACGTTAAACATGACAGATAATATGTTTAATTATGAAATCAGTAACCAAAAATTAGATAACATATATTTAAGTTTTCTACTATGAAAACATTCAACAAGATGGTCAACAATTGTCATGTCAAGTCACTAGAAAGTCTTTGGTTTGCTAGTTGAGTTAGGTTTGTGCTTGACTGCTTTCTATAAAATAAAATTAAGATGAAGATAAGCTTCAAAGTTGGGAATGTTGAATCCTTTCACATTAGCTTATACATCATCGGTTTATATTGTAATCAGACCAAAAGGCAAAACAACATAGAAACAGAATCTTCACCCACCAAAATTTTGAAGCTTATACTGATCAAATTTTATTTTATTGTGCGAGGAAAGAAACAAGGTACAGGCACTGGATATCAAAACCAGGCATAAGATAAATTATTACATTTCCTTGGTGCTTCCAAAACTCATACAATAGAGTAAAAGATGAAACACTAAGAAATTGATATGGTAAACAACTTAAGACTGAAACCACTCCGACCGAGGTAGTGAAAAACATGCTTAAAATGTATAGAAGATAACATAGGGGAAACAAATCTAGTTCTTACTTGATTCATAGAGAGGATGAAGCAGACAGCAAGTTTTCACTAGCCCCTTTTTCTACTTCAGCATCAAAGAAGTCCTGAACTGCAATCATCTTAATAGTGCTTGACTTCAAGCTTCTGATTGCCTCTGCACTGGCCAAAGCTCCATCAACAGTTGTAATTATAGGAACTTTGTACGAAAGAGCCATTCTCCTCAGCTGTCTCCCATCAATCTGATCAAGTGCATCACCAGAGCTTGTGATCACCATAAGCTGGATCTGCCCATTAGCAACCATATCACCAGCATGTGGGCGACCCTCATGTAATTTCAACACTCGTTCCACTGGGATACCTTTAAGTTCAAGGAAGTGTGCTGTCCCAGAAGTTGAGACAATCTTGAATCCTAGCCCCAAGAAGGCCTTTGCAATCCTTTCAAGATGGGGCTTTGTCAAGTCGTTTAAGCTAAGGAACACAGTACCAGACATTGGAAGCTTCTGCCCAGCAGCAATTTGGGCTTTGGCAAATGCTATTGCAAATTCATAATCAATACCCATCACCTCACCAGTGCTTTTCATCTCAGGACCTAACACCACATCACAGCCTTGGAACTTCTCAAATGGAAGCACTGCTTCTTTAACTGACACGTGTTGTGGGATCACCTCATTTGTAAAACCTAGATCATGAAGTGATTTTCCAGACATCACAAGAGCAGCATATTTAGCCAGTGGGTGCCCAATTGACTTGGACACAAATGGTACGGTACGTGAAGCACGAGGATTAGCCTCAAGCAAGAAAACCTCCCCAGACATTGTGATTGCATACTGACAGTTCATGAGCCCACACACATCTAGCCTCTGGGCCAATTTTGTTGTCCATGACCTTATAATGTCCAAGCAAGAGGAAGGGATAGTCTGTGTAGGAATTGAGCAGGCTGAATCACCAGAATGAACACCAGCCTGCTCAATGTGCTCCATTATTCCCCCAATGACCACGTTACCATATGAATCAGCAAGTGCATCTACATCAATCTCAATTGCATCAGATAAATACTTGTCAATCAATACAGGCTGTTCTGGATCCACCTTAACTGCATTCTCTAAGTATGTTACAAGCTTCTCATCAGAATATACAATCTCCATAGCACGGCCACCCAACACGTAGGAGGGTCGCACAACCACTGGGTAGCCTATGTCTGATGCAATGGCAAGAGCATCATCTTCACTCTTGGCAATGCCTCCTTTTGGCTGTTCAATGTTTAACTCCTTAAGAATTGCATTGAACCTCTCCCTGTCCTCAGCTGCATCAATAGAATCTGGTGATGTACCCCAGATGCGCACATGGCCAGCCCCACTGGCAGATAAAAGTTTGCTCTCGTCCAAGTACTGCTGGATGGGAAGAGCCAGCTTCAAGGGTGTTTGACCTCCAAACTGAACAATGATGCCATCAGGCTTTTCTAGATCAATAACATTAAGAACATCTTCAACTGTCAAGGGTTCAAAGTATAGACGATCACTTGTATCATAATCTGTAGAAACAGTTTCAGGATTTGAATTCATCATGATTGTCTCATATCCAGCACTCTGTGAAGAAGAAAAAGAACATACAACAAATCAACAAATGTGTATCGGTAAAGAACCACAAGCGTTGATAAAAAGAATGTAAATGTTTTCCAAGTATGCAATCTAGTTTCACAATGTTAAACTGAAGATAGTTACTCTATTTCTCAAGATGAAGAAAGCCTAGCGCAAAGAAGGTAACTCAAACCTGAAGAGAAAAAGACGTATGGCAACAACAGTAGTCAAATTCAATTCCTTGACCAATACGGTTTGGTCCTCCACCTAAAATCAAAACCTTCTTCTTTTGAGTGGGAGCTGATTCACACTCAAAATCATAGGATGAATACATATAAGGAGTGTTAGCTTCAAATTCTGCGGCACAAGTATCCACACGCTTGTATGCCGGAGTAATTCCTAATGCTACTCGCTTTGCCCTGACTTCCTTTTCTGATGACTTGGTTGCAAAAGCTATCTGCTTGTCACTGAACCCTCTTTTTTTGACTTCATAAAAATCATCCTTTGTCAGATTAGACAAACCTCGAGATAGAAGAAATTGCTCCGCATCTACCAACTCTCTAAGCTGCGTCAGGAACCATTTGTCAATAAAGCTCAGCTCAAAAATCTCATCTACCTTCATCCCTTTCTTCATTGCAGCATATATGACATGAATACGGTCTGGACTGGGAACACGGAGACTGTACTTAAGTTGTTCCCAATCCCAGTCAAGCTCCTTAACCTTTGCACATCCCCATCCAGAGTAACCACTCTCCAGTGACCGAACAGCTTTCTGAAATGATTCTTGAAATGTCCGGCCTAGAGCCATGGCTTCACCAACCGACTTCATCTGGGTTGTCAAGACTGGTTGAGAACCAGGAAACTTCTCAAATGCAAACCGTGGGATCTGCATCATGATTTATGTAAAAAATAAAATTTTAAAAAAAAATTAGAAGAAGAAAAAATTTAAGCGCTGATGGCATAAAATCATGTCATAGGCTATGATAAGAGATAACATAAATCATTATCACATTCTTCTAACTCTTTTAGGTAGGTAGGAGAAACTGTTAGGTCTTGACAATTCCAAGTTTGTGCATGGCCAAGAAAAAATATTATAAAATGAGGATGAAAGGATATACACAACCAAATCATCAATGTGAAGGAAGGATATAAATGGTACTGTTCCTGTCACACATTTGTTAAAGATGCAAGTTCATGAACTTCCAGAATATCATGGGGTTGAATGGCTTTAGTAGCCACATACAAACAATGATCATGCAAAAAAAAAAAAAAAAGAAATTGCAACTTAGCTACACGACCAATTTAATCTCAGTCAAGTTGTTAATAACAAGTCTACTCCCTGCTCTAAAAGACAGTTAGATTGATAATTTATGTTACTCTTGCTAGACTGTAAATGAGATGAAAAGTGCTCAACCAACAAGAAAGAGTAAGAAGTTCTCACCTTGGTTACCACATAATCAATAGAAGGCTCAAAACTAGCAGGAGTCTTCTTGGTGATATCATTTGGAATCTGATCCAAAGTGTATCCAACAGACAACTTAGCAGCCATTTTTGCTATAGGAAACCCCGTTGCTTTGGAAGCCAAAGCAGAGGACCGTGACACCCTCGGGTTCATCTCAATCACCATCACCTCCCCATCCACAGGATTAATGGCAAACTGAACATTCGAGCCTCCACACTCCACTCCAATCTCCCTTATAATCTTAATTGAATAATCCCGCAGCCTCTGATACTCCTTATCTGTCAGTGTCTGTGCTGGTGCCACTGTAATAGAATCCCCAGTATGTACCCCCATTGGATCAATATTCTCAATAGAACATATAATCACCACATTATCAGCCAAATCCCTCATCACCTCAAGCTCATATTCTTTCCACCCCAACAAAGATTTCTCCACCAGGACCTGTGAAGTTAAGCTCGCAGCTAACCCCGCCTTACAAATGGCCTCAAACTCCTCCTTGTTATATGCAATGCCACCACCAGTGCCACCCAGAGTAAATGCAGGCCTGATGATCAAAGGAAACTCCCCAATCTCATTGGCAATCTCTATGCATTCCTCCAAAGTATTCCCTATACCAGAAGGTGGGGTATCGATTCCAATGTTTTTCATTGCTTGCTTGAACAAATCCCTGTCCTCTGCTTTCTTTATGGCACCAAGCTTAGCACCAATCAGCTCAACACCATATTTTTCCAGGACGCCGCTCTCCGCTAATGCTACTGCAAGATTGAGTGCGGTTTGCCCACCCATCGTCGGAAGCAGGGCATCAGGACGCTCCTTTTCCAGGACTTGCTCCACCAATTCCGGCGTCATGGGAGTAATGTAAGTCCGGTCGGCCATATCCGGGTCAGTCATGATGGTGGCCGGGTTCGAATTAATCAAAATAACCTCGTACCCTTCTTCTTTCAGCGCTTTGCACGCTTGCGTCCCAGAATAGTCAAACTCACAAGCTTGCCCAATCACAATCGGTCCCGCCCCAAGAATCATGATTTTCTTTATATCAGTCCTCTTCCCCACTTTCGAACCCTCCATCGCCGCCACCATTCCAGAACCAGCCTCCGCCCGAACCCCCTTGCACGCCCGGAAGGAAGAAGAAACCTGCGGTTGCCATGACCGGAATGAACAAGATTTCGCCTTCTTCCTGGTATTGGAACAAAAAACTACCCAACAATCATTAGACTTCAACAAACATGGTCTAGAAAAGGGGATGAAGGAAGATGATTTCTGCGAGAAGAGATGATTGAAGGAGACATGCTTGCAGCAGCCCATTTCCTGGGTGGTTCTGGTGTCCCACAAACAAGAAGAATCGGCGGGTTTTGACTAGGTTTTTCTTTTGCAAGGATCGACGGCGGGGTTACTGCGCGGTTTAGCGTTTACCTTCTGAGCTCCGAACTGAAGTATCTGAGCGTAATGATATGTTCGCGATTGGGGAGTGGGGTCTCCACTACGATTAGGGTTGGCTTTGATTAATTGATTACAACATTACGGGGAGCAGCAATGTGGTTGGCCATGTCGTTTTGCTTTTGTTTTTTGTTTTGTTTTTTTTTTTTGATGGACCTGTTTTGGGCGGCCATGTCTTAATAATAACACATATAAGCCCATTTTATGATTGACATTGATTTTTTTTGGATTTTGTAATTAAATTAGTAAGCCCATAAAAATTAAGAACAAGATCCATCAAGAGGTTTATGTAGCAGGCCCAATAAAGCCAGCAAAGGCCCAAGTATGACCCCGAATATGAAACAACAAGGTAAAACCCTACTTTAAACCGTATCCCAATTTTTTTTTGCTTAAACCCCTAAACTTTTATTAAAGTAAATAAGTTCTTATACTTCAAAATTTGGACAATTTAACTCTTCTTCTTACTGTGACGGTTGTTTGTATCTAATTTTTAGAAACAAAGTCAATACCTGTAATACAGATAATAATATGTGAATATTTTATATATACAAATATAGTATAAATAAGTATTAAATTTATTTAAAAAATTGTTTAAATTATTAAATTTAAAAAATTACTTATTTCAATAAAAATTTAATCATTTAATCAAGAATCTAAATTTATTAGAATCTTTACATAAAATTTTGCCAAATAACAAGAAGAGAATAGAAGAGGAGAGAACAGGAGATGGAAAGAAAAATGATTTAGAAATAATTTTTTATATATTTTTTATATAATTTTATATGTTATGATTAACTATTTCTATTTATTTAAAATATATAATATTAAATTTATTTATTTATTTAATAATATATAAAAATTATATAAAAATATCCGCAGCAGATACTACGGGCTTAATTATGATGCCGAGCAAATTGGCGTTGGCTACGCGTAGCCGACTCTTATAAAATGGCTAGCACATGAGGTGAACGACACTGATGGAGCAAGTCAGCCGTTGACTAAACGACAACTCTCCCATGGTATGGTACCACTTGGCTGCTGGCCGTGCACGCTACAATGTGCTTCCATCTAAAAGCAATCGCCTTTTTTGGCTTTCTATATTCCCTTCGCCAAATTTACAATCCCTCTTGATTGGTTTTCTGTATTCTCCTGCATAAAACAATCTCTCTGACTTTCCCATTGATTATTTTTATTTTCTCCTTTTGCTCTGTATTTTATCAAGAAAGGTCAAGTTGCCTTTGCTGGGGAAGATGGTTCAAATGAAGGAGTTGTATCTTTTCATAGGATATGTCTGTTCTGTTTTATCTTTATTTCTGTAATTTATTCGAACCTATGTGTTGGTCTTTCCTTAATCTCTAACTAATAAATTTGGGAAATAACTTGAAGCCGAATTGTTATGCCCATGTCGTTGGAAGAGGTAAAACAATCTGATAAAGTTCTTAATTTTTTCAAAAGCAGTGAATCATTATGCAATGGCTGTAGATTGTAAGGTTGTTTGCTTAAAACCCATGTTTGATTGCAGTATCAGATAGCCCAGATGTACATGGTTATGAAGATGCAGCGGCAGAACACAACTGGCAGTGAGGGTGTGGAAATCTTGGAGAACAGACCATTTGAAGATGATGCATATGGGAAGGGTCAGTACACGTCTAAGATTTATCGTTTGCAGAGGTAATTCATTACCCATCGGTGATAGGTAGATTTAATGTGGTGAAATTTTGTGGGTCATGATTGTTAGGTTGACTTATTGTAGTGAAATTTAGTGGGTTATGATTGATTTGGTATGCTAAAGAAGCACTCTTTTTCTTCAAGATGCTTTATTTTTCGGTTTCCTAATCTTGTTTAAACTTCCAACCACCAACTTAGTCAGCAAATTACCTTGGCTTGGCTTGGTTTGGTTTGGTTTAGTTCCTTTATATTTTTGTGCTCTTTTATTTTGTCTGTGTTTTGTTAAGGTGGGCTGCTTTTGCCTGTTTATTTATGCTTATTAACTTTTGAAACCTAAGGTTACAGGAGTACTTAATTTCTTAGTCTCGCACTTCCTTTTGCAGCAAAGCACCTGCTTGGCTTGCAGCTCTTGCCCCCAAAGATGCTCTCATAATGCTAGAGGAAGCATGGAATGCATACCCGAGATGTAAAACAGGTTTGCAATGCCCTTATTGTGAATCATTTGGTTTTCATATTAAGTTTCTTGTGGAAGTGGAATTAATATTTATTTTTCTCTTTTGTTTTGCAAATCTATTTCAAATAACTCAGTAATCAAGGTAATTATTTTTGTTCCCAACTATGATTTGTTATTTTATGGGCTAACTTGGCTACCCTTTCATCTTACCTACAGTAGCATTCTCATTGTTTTTGCTTTTGCGTTTTCACTGTCCTGCAGTGCCCCTATTTTTCAAAATTTCGTCTTACAATTGAAACTGTTCATAGAGCTGACAGAGGTCACTCAGAAAACGTTAGTATGTTTCAAAGTTTATGCTTTTTTTACCCAGTTCTTCACTATTCTGTGGTTTTAAATTGTACACCCAGTGAGAGGCTGCGAATTGTTTCCTATTACTCTTGCTTGAGTTTCTTTGGTATCAGCTAACTGTAAGTTTGCAAACCAGGTACATTGCCTAAGCAAAGAACAACTAGCAGCTAGACAGGTTGAAACCATTGATATAGCTTCAGCTGCGAGAGATTACTGGAGTCATGCCATTGGAAGTAGCACTTTAGACTTATCCAAGTTCAAATCAACAAAAACTGCCCGTGGTCCTCTTTCAAAGGGATGGCAGGTTGGTAATTTTATTCTAGGTACTGTTGGAATCTTAGTTGATCAGCTAATAAATACCAAGAATCCTCATGCTTCAAATTGATACAATCTACGGTTTTCAAGCAGCTCAGTAATGCTGTTTGACTCCCCCTAATGGCTGCTTCCTGAGTCCAGTTCTTTTGCAGCTTTCATTCTTGAGAAACAAATTTATTCCCCTATCACTCCTTTTGTTTTAACCTGAACTTCTACCCTCCGAACTCCACCCTCAACCTCTCTCCCCCTCCACAGCTCTACCCCACCCCAACCCAACTCTGTCTTGCTCCTGTAGTGCAAATCCAGTTCCTCTAGATTCCAGTTTGATGAAGGCTCAAATACATCTCTGTGCCCCCCCTTCTAATTCTTCCACGCTAGTTTGTCTGGTTTCTGACTTTACTTCATAATTTGCAAAAGTATATAGAAACAGTTGCTGCCCTCTTCTGGTGGTCATCATGGATGGTGGAACCTAGTAGTACTGAAGTTTCTAGTGTTTCAAATTTGAATGGATCTGGTATCTTGGAAAACAATTTGTTTGTTTCCTCTTATAATCTCATGTAAATTTAGTTTGATCTGTTTCATATGACACAATGCTTGCAGGACAGGTGTAATCCCGTCATGACAGCATATAAATTGGTCACGGTAGATGCTCCATACTGGGGCTTTGGCTATCGACTTGAGCAAGCTTTGATAGCGGTAATTTTTATGCCTAGAATAATCTTGATATATAATGCATTTGCTTGGAATTTGACTTCTTTACATAATGTGTTATTATTTTTGTAGGGTGAAAGGGCTCTCTTTTTAGAAAGCCACCGGAATTGTTTTGGTTGGATTGATGAATGGTTTGGGATGACAGTGCAACAACTACATGAACTTGAAAGTGAAAGTGATTGCTCAGCAGATGAGGTAATAAGGTCTCAAACTTCTAGTGCTTACTCACTAATGGTAGCCTGATATGCAATTTACTGATGAAGAACACTAATTTCTTGAAATTTTTTATAAGAGCTTTTACTTTTTTTATGCTATTCATGAGTGATAAGTTTAAATTTTTATTAGAAGGAAAATTTAAAAGTTGCTTTTAAAGATAGAAAAAAGTAAAGAAAAGTAAGTGAAAAAGAAGTTTATAAAAAGCAAAAGTAAGTGAAAAAGAAGTTTATAAAAAGCAAAAGTTTGAAGCTAAACAGTTTTTATTATTTAGGGTTTTTTCAAGGTTAAAAAAAGTTTTAAAATGTAGGTTTTTAAAAAGAAAATTTAAATTTATGAAACACAAATAGTGTTAAAAAGCTGAATTACTTGGAAACTGAAGCAAATATGTTCTAGCAAAAAACACTAAAAAATACATAAATAGTATCAAAAAATTGAAGCACTTGGAAATTATGTGGGCTACTGACACAGCACTCCACAACATGTAGACATAGAATCTTAAACTAAAAAATACTGCATGTTAATGAATGAAGAACCAGTTTAGTGACGTTTTATCCTTCGTTTTCAAACAGAAAATTTGAAATCCAATTTTGTTGAATGATGCAGAAGATTATGACCAAAGAATTTGCAGCCAAGTGGGCTAAAATTGATTCAAAGCAACGTGGACTTGCTGTTGACTGTTGACCGGTAGCACAATCAAAACTAGAGCCAGACACTAAGATGATCA